AATTTACCAACTCTGCTGATTTTCTACGTAATTGCACAATTTATGTTCCCTAATAGGACCTGCTCCTTACACAAGACACATTCAGAGGAGTGTTTGTAAAATCAGGGCTTACAAGTGGTGTTATAAATGCCCTCAACCATTTATTTCTCAATTTCCTTTGCTCATATTTTAGTAAGAAATTTCTATCACAGTAAGAATTGGGGGAAAAAAAATAAAAACACTTACCATGGGCTCACTAATATTTCAGAATTATGAAAAACTAATTCTCAGGTAACACTACATTGAAATTCAGCCCACTGAGAGAGAGAGTAGGACCACCTCTCCTCATCCAAATTACTTCCCGTAAGTCATAAACCACTGTCAAAAGAAAACTTCAATGCCCATATTGACCACAATTACTTAAAACAGGAATATTATTACAATTATCGCCTTTGTTTGTCCTGCCAATTAAATCAGTTTTATGTAAGAAACTTGGATTTTCAGCTTGACTGCTTTATTACCATCATGAATATTTCTGCCACGCAGACGTCACTATTTCAGGCATTTCCAAACTTACGTTTGGGAACAAACACGGGGACATTTAAATTCCTTCCAGAGCTCAAAAAAGTTCACGAAAATTCCTAAATCAGGACCCAGTGCAAGTGTTAAATTCCCAGACCAGGAATCTACGGAAGGATGAAATCTCTGACCTTGGTAAGGGTAAAACTCAGCACAAACAACTCCCATTTCCAGCCTCGCTGTTAGACAACAACACTACGTCTGCTGGCTGAGGTGCAGCATCCTGAGGGACTGGAAAAGGACAGGGGATTTTTCACTGCATTTGCAAGAAATCCAAAGCCGAAAGAAAAATATTATTTATGCCGAAATTCATGACAAAGAGTTGTAACCCCATTAATTCCATCTCCAGCCATTTAGAAACCCACGAGTCGGGATCCAAAATTATCATCAAACTGACTTGAAAGAACTGCTGGGGAGAGGCTGCCTTTTTTTTTATTTAAACTTTTAATTTCAGCATTCCTGTTTGCAAGTGCTCTAACCCTTTATGTGACAGTATTTTCAAGCTCTTATTCTGGTGCTACCAATAATTCCAGGAGCAAGATGTCTATGGAAAAACACCGTGCAAATATGGCACAAACTACAGCCAGTCATGCTATACACGAGGTCAGAAAAACTAACTCTGTGTTTTTATTTATAAATACAAAAGAAATATAGTAAACATGTGATTACAGCAATTAAAATCTAACTTGGATTAAAGAAATCCTCTTAATTTTAACAATATAAGAGACTCACACAGCACAAACAATCGTATTTTTAAAGTAAGTTCACAATTTCCCTTTTTATTAAAACTGACGAAATGTTTTACAACTTCCTACTGCAAAACCAATACAAACACTAATTTAAATATTTCCTTTTCAGTTGCATTTTGAATACTTACAAAGACTAAAACATCGACCTTTTTGCCACCGAAACTGACAAGGCATAAAACCCTAATATGACACTTTCTGTGTACCTTAGAGAAAAATTGGGATTTTTTTCTATAAAAAGTGGAGAGAACTGGCACAATACCTATTTTTCATAGCCTTTTTTTTTCATTTATGTTGTATTTGTCACCAAAACAGCTCAGTGGAACACAGTGTGCAGCACACATTGTGCCTTGTCATGAGCTGCCAGCAAATCAAGAGAAGGTGAACCAAATTACAAAACAAAAGTATTTTTCCCCCCCTTTCTCACCACCTGACAAGATAAATGATCTCAGTTATATTAAAGAGAAATAGGATAGGGGATCCAAAGGGCTCATTTTACGTTAACTGCATCTCAAAAACAAAAATAGAGAAAGCAATTTCCTGATGCATCAATTCCATGCCAGCACTTCCATGTACATTCTGAATTCCAAGGTGCTGTGCACCTCCAGGTATCCTCACACCTCCAGCACATCCACTGCTCCCCAGCCACTTCTTCTATAAAGGCAGGGCTCTTTTCCCCCAAAAAAACCATAAAGATAACACGGATATGCCAGCACGAACCACCCCGGCTGAATAAACATCTTTCTGTAGGTAACACCGTGTCGAATTACTCCTGTAACCAACACAAAGCACCAGCTCTCTCTCTCTCAGGACATGTGTCACCACCCCAGTTCTTTCACCACTACAGTGTCCCTCACTCCTTTCTGGAATTTCTGGTTATTTACAGGCCAGATTTCCTTCCTCACCCACAGCGGTCAGTATCTGGAAGTTCTCATCATTTCAGATTGCAAAAAATTGTACTGAAAAAGTCAAGATGGTAGAGAAGCTGAAGAATGTGAAATATCATAAACTATTCCTGATCCTTTTTCCGGACTGGAGCAGCATAAAACTGCAAACCTCATCTTTCTATCCTCCTTCTCACGTTCTGTATTTATAGGGTATTAAAAACCTCCTCCTCCAAAGCAAAGACTTGTTTCTAGTGCAACACCAAAGCAGTTTTAAATATCTGTGTATAGTCCTCACCATTATAAAACCCTCTCTTCCTCTTCTCAACCCAGCCTCGTTGATCTGCTGTTATTTAACTCTTGAAGGCTACTTGAGGCTCACCACGTTACTAAAGGTTATGTAACTTTTAAAAATACACTGAATTTTTACATTTTTAAGCCGTACAATAGAAACATACACAACAAAACACACAGCTGATGAGTTTTTTCCCACCCCTCCTCCACTTACTCTAAACCAAAACACCTCAGGGATCTAGAATAGTGAATTTCCTTTTTTTTTTCCAGCTTGTCGGCCACAAAATCCAGTGCAGAAAGCAGTATAATGAGCATAAGCCTACAGAAAACACAATGTCCTTTCCTCTGTGGCTTCCCACTGACCCTGAGTTGTCCACTGCCTGCAATGCCGAAAGCTGCTGATCTAGAACCGAGTATCCTCTTACTGTTTGCTCTGCCACCCGAGAAGTTGCATTAAAATGGCATCACGTTCCTTAACTCCAAACTGACTCGCCTTTCTCCACGTAACCTACTAACAACCCGTGCTCCAGAGCCTTCCACAAAACCCTGTTCCCAGGAACAACAACCCAAAAAACCAGAACACCATCAGGTTAAGACGCCTCGTTTTGCCACGGAATCGAACGTGGAGCAAGTCCTTCACACAGAACGCTGCCCAACCCACCTATAAATAGGCTCAAAGCTCCGGGCTCAGGAGACTGAGAGCTCCACACGATCCTTGCAGCGTTCCCCGGCTTCACCTACATAAGGAGCCGTGCCGTAACACTGCCCGGCTGGGCAGACACCGAGCTGCTGCTGTGGCTTACGCAGGAGAGCACGAAGGGAGGGGAAAGAAATTAAAAAAAAAAAAAAAAGAAGAGGGAGGGGAAAGAAATAAAAAAAAATAAAAAAAAATAGAAAAAAAAATCACTGGGCATAAACAGCTCTCCTCGGGAGAAAAACACCTCCCTCTCCGGAGGCCAGAGCCAGCCACGGACAGGCTGTCACGGCTCGGCCATGACAGGAAAGCAGCCAGGGACAGGCCCTTCAGAGGAGGTTTAATGGGGCCGAATGGAGGCTCATGGGGAGCAAGGGCCTGGGGGCAATGGCAAGAGGGTCCTGGCCACATTCCCTGGGCAGGGGGGATTCAGGCTCCATGGGCAGGGAGCCAGAAGTCAGACTCCCCTGGGCTGGGGGCTTCAGGCTCTTCCCAAGCTGGCAGCCAGTTCTGTTCCACATCAGACCCCACAGACAGGACAACTGCAGACCCTCCTGTTCCTCATCAGACCCCATGGACAGGATAGCTGTAGACCCCCGGGTTCCCATTCAGACTCCCCCCTGGACAGGAGTGCTCCCGGCCCCCCAGTGTCACCCTGTCCGATCCCACAGCAGTGCGTCCCCAGGTCCCCATCAGACACTCCCACCCCACAAGGCACAAGAGCTCCAGACCCCCGTGATCCACACCAGACCCCCGAGGACAGGAGAGCTCCAGACCCCCCAGATCCCCGTCAGACCCCCGAGGACAGCAGAGCTCCAGGGCCCCGTCAGACCCCCGAGGACAGCAGAGCTCCAGGGCCCCGTCAGACCCCCGAGGACAGCAGAGCTCCAGACCCCCGTGATCCACACCAGACCCCCCGCGCTTTTCCCGCCCTCGGCGGGGCCGCGGGACCCCCCTGAGGGCGCCGCTCCCTCACACCCGCCATGGCGGCACCGCCGTCACCCCCGCACCGCTCGCGGCGCCCGGAGCTGCGCCACTCGGCAACGCGCGCCTGCCAAGTCTTGTCCCCGCACCCCGCTTCGCTCTCAGACCCGGCAGCGCCGCCCGCCGCGAGTGCGCGGAGTGCGGGACCGCTCTGGCGCTCCCCACACGACCAGCGCTTCGGCCCCTCTCCGTGCACGCACCCACCTGTGGGGCGCCCTCGGCCGCCTCCATCATCGCCCCGCTTAAAGCGCTTAAATATCCCCGCGGCGGCACCGCCTGTGTCACGGACCGGGGCTGCGAACGGCAGTGCGGCCCTCCCCGCCTCCCCCCCCCGGCCCGCCCCGCTCCGCATCTTGTTTTCTCCATACGCACTTGGAAATGCGTATGGAGAAAAGCGGGACCGGGCGGGGGGCGCCGCTGTTATCCCCGCTCTAATCGGGATACCCACGCAACACCGAGGAAAACAACGCGGCGCAGCCCCGTTCTTTCTCCCCCCCCACCACCACTCCGCGCTGTCACTTGGCTGTGCTTCCCCCATGTCGCGACGCACACACCCCCCCCGCCATGTCGCGACAGCGCCCCGCGCACCTGCCGCGCCGCGTCCCCCCCGCCCCCGACCCGCCGCGTCCTACCGGGGGTGCGGGGAAAGCGACGTTCCGTTCTCCCTCCCCGGGGGAAGCAGCGCGATGCCGGCGCTGCCCCAGGTGCGCGGGGGCTCCGCGGGTGCGGAGCGGAGAGAGCGGCGGGGAGGGGGCGGCAGGAGCCGGGATGGAGCCGGGATGGAGCGAACCTCCCTCCCCCCCAGTTCCCCGTCCGCCCCCCCCCGCCGCTTGTGTTTACCTCAAGTTTGAATTTTATCTGCGCAACATGAGCTGGAATGCGGACATGGAGGGCGGGAGGGCGCGCACACGCCCGGCGCTCCGCGGGGACAGCGCGGACACCCCGCGCACACACCCCGCAACCCCTCCGCCCAACACCGCGCCCGCACCCCGCGCCCCCCGCCCCGGTCCCGCCGGTAACTTACCTCCGCCACCGGCTCGCCTCCTTCTCCTCCTCCTTCTCCTCCTCCCCGGGGGAAGGTGCCGCCCGCAGCCCCATCAGCGGGGCGGACACCGCGCTCCCGGCGCGCCGAGACAGGTGCAGCCGGGGCGGGCGGGTCGGGGGGCACCGCCACCTCCCCGACGCCTCCCCGGGCTCCCCCACTGCTTCCCTCCGTCCCTCCCCACGATGTTGTTTCGTTATATCATGTCCATCATGTGACACCCGGAGGCCTCTCTATGGAAACTTAAAGGGGACTTTCACGTCCGCCGCCGCCGGACCCGCCGGTACCCCCGGGGGGCTGCGAGCCCCGCCGGTGCTCGCTTGCCCTCCCTCCGGTACCTCCCTTCCCTCCCCGGGGGGCTGCGCTCCCTGCTCCTACCGCCCTCTGCTTAAAGCAAGTAGCTGCGCTTGCTTTTTCTATTATTATTTATTAGGGGTTGGTTTGGTGTTTGGATTTTGGTTTTTGGGGTTTTTTTTCCCTTCTCTTTTGCAGAAAGGAGTAACCGGGGAATAACCGGCCGGGCAGGCACAGTGCGGAAGGATGGACTCCGCTCCTGGAGGCTGCGGGATCCGCTGCTCGTCTACGGCCGCGGCGGGTCTCCGTTGCTGGAAGAGGCAGAAAAACAACAACAACGACAAAAAATCCAAAACAGCAAAAAGAAAAATAAAAATAAAATAAGGAGGAAAAACCCCTTGTTTGTGTCGGACCGAGGAGGAGCAGATTCTGCCCGTGCGGGGTCGATGCGGTGGTCGCCACCGCCGCGTTTAACTCCGCCAGTCGGTAGCGAAGCGATTCCACCGTCCCGACCCGTCGCACCGGCGGCTCCCGACAGCCGGCTCCCGACAGCCGGCTCCGTGCCGAGCTGCTGCGAGGAGCCGCTCCTAGGGATGTGCGCTGGCCGCTGCAACACTGCCAGCAAGCAGCCAGCCCTCACAGGAAGGCGAAGGGAAGATGCCGACAATTCGGGCAGCCTCTGGTTCCCCGCGCATCCCGCTGCCCGGCTGCAGCCGCCGGGGGCGCGGGGCCGGCCGGCGGCAGCGCCGCGTTCCTCCGGCTGCTGTTCCGCCTGCGGTGCTGAAGTGGGTTTTGTTCCCTGCTCTCCACCAGCCCCCAGGATTTGGGATCAGGGAGCTGAAGCCCACTCGCTCCGCGGTCCCACCGCCGGGCTGACAATGCGCAGGGGGCTCTCGGGGTTTTACCTCTGGGAGGTTCCTGTGGGAGGCCCCCAAATTCTGCTCCCAAACCGGTGGCATCGTGTCAGTGTTGGTGATCAAGTGCAAGGCTTTAGAGGCTAGATTGAGAATGGAGACATAGATTTGTTGTTAAAAACTGAAGGAGGAAAAGAAATCCCGCATTCACTCCTTCCTTACAGCTTCCAGCAGCACCTCAGCAGATGAAAAAAACCACAATCCACAGATGCAGTAAATTTCAAATGGGATTTAATTTCTTCAGTGTCCCACCACGTTTTCTTGAAGGGAGTCATATAAACGACTTTTTTCTAGCTGCTGGGTTGGTGCTGATGGCTGTCAGCCACGGGAGGGGACCAGAGCTGCCCGGCCACCCAGCACAGGCCCAATCCTGCAGTGACAATGGATCATCTTCAGCTCTCCCATTTGTGCTTTGGACTTGAAATTCCTGTTCTCTGCCCCACTCATTTCCAGTGCCCATGCAATGAGCTGTATATCGAACAGATCAGTGTTTCAGATATCTCTACTATTATTTTTTAATTTTTAATTTTTTTTTAGTTTTGTAAAAATTACTAATGATTTTAGCTGAAAAGAGTTAATGAAGTGAGGAGCAGTTCATCCTCCTTTCCTTATTTCTTCTCAGACTCTTCCCTTCGTCCACCCTCCACACTGTTTATGTTTATCTCTCCTTCCCATCCAATTTTGGGGGAATTTCCTCTCTGGGCTCCTTTCTGCCTTTTATCCAGACTGTCCCACTGCTGTGGAGCCTAACTACTATTTCCCTTGCTTCCCATATCTTGGGGCCTCATTCCCCTGCCTCGCTAAGCCTCTTTTTATTCCGCATTCCCTTCTTCAGATCATGCTTAAAGGAGGAAGAGGCTGGAGCTGGGATTTAAAGTAGTCTTTTAGGAGTACTGCCAGAACTGATCTGTTTTACTCTGCTGCTGCTGTTGCTGTTCTGCTGTGTCATGGGAAGAGTTTCCTCTCCACACCAACCCTTGGAAGCGGCACCTCGGGCAGAGCCGCTCGCTGCAAACCCCGGCCGTGTTTCACAAAGCCCCGGGTAAGGATTGACACTGGAAGGGGAAGGCACTGCTGCCTTCCCGGGCCCTGACCTGCAGAGCTGTGCACGATTTTGGGAGATTTGCAGGAGGCAGTGGCGGCAGCAGCGGTGACAGCGCATCATCGCTCAGCTTTATTTCATTTTCTTGAGCCAAGACGCTTTAGGTTACAGCCCAGCAGAAAAGGAAAATGAAGCATTTCTGTCAAAAGAGAGCTATTTCCCAAATTTGCTTTAAATTATTGCAAGATCTTGCACTAAAAAAGAGGAGAGATTCTGTCTCCTCTTAAAAAATGTTGTTAGTTATAAAATCTTTACGATCTTGGCTCTCTCCCCCTCAGCCTGTCTCCTTCAAAAACTTGATTTCAAAAATGTGAAGTTTAAAGATGACTCTTCTCCCTCTCTCTCTGTCCCCTCTCCTAAATTTATGTTCCTTGGAAGGGCCTGAAGAAGCCTGAGGCTGCATCTGCCCATGAATAAACACCGGCGTGCACATACACGTGCATATCCATGCACACACACAGGATTTAAAGCGTCCCATTGAAGTCCACATATAGGAAAATCCTTGATCATGTGATAGGCTTTAATATCTGCCTTAAAATTAATCCCTAACTGATGGACTCTGTGTGGTGGCAGATCACAGGAGGCTCAGTAGCTGGGGCTACTGAGTTTTTTAAAAAACTGACAGATAAAATCCCCCGTTTGCTGCTGTATTAATTTGTTTGTTCACAGCAGCTACCTGGGAAATGCTCATCTAGTGAAACAAAGTAAGAAAACTTTATAGGGCTCTGATCTTGTTTTCCACAGTTAAAAAGAAAGACCTTGTCATGAGGTCAGGACAAGATCTGATGTTATTACACAAGGAAAAGGCTGAAGTTGGCTGCACAGTTCTTCAGGTGCTCTGCTGGAGATAACACTCCAGAATTTTATTGGAGCGGGAGTTTTGGAGATGATCCTGCTTAATTCTCAGAGTTGTCTTCATTTTTTTTTATTCTTTTTTTGTTGTTGACACTGAGTTTTCTTGTTTCACTTCTCTTTCCTATTCATTTCACTCTTTAGTTCCCACGTGTTAGAAAGTGCAGTTTCATTTAGACTCTTGAGAGAAGAAAGTCTGATTCCAGAGAGCAATTTGCAGCAATATATTTTCCTTGCCACTCACACAAAAACATCACTACTCCAACAGATATAGGTATAAACAATGCTGACAGGCCCTCAAAACCAAAATCAGTTTGTGAAATTGAGGCAAATAGCCCAGAGAACCCGAAATATTCTGGTTTCTAAAATGCTGTCTGCTGTCAAAAATGGGGTAAAATAAAGCTTTGTTTACGTGTAGAGCAGAGTGTTTGTTGATCGAGTTTCTAAGGTGATGTAGCAGGAAATGCTGTTCTTGGGGAAAATGACATGAACAAAGCATGAAACCATAATTCATCAGCTATTTGTCAACTGATAGCAGAAGAAAAAAAAGCCTATTTATAAAGCAGTGAGAGGTTTTCACTGAACTTTTTCTCTCCTTTGCTGGCATACATGAAGGCAGCTTCTCACCTGCTCTGCTCCTGGATATAACTACTTGCAAGAGCACAGCTAAATCATTTATCAGAAGGAATGTTTCCATCAAATCCAAATATCTACACTGGCTGCTGTTTCTACGTCATGTCACGGATGAGATTGATGCTCAAGCAAGGTTATAATGTACCTGCATTTTCTCCAGATTGGTGCCAAGCTTGCTGAGTCATTTTGCCTGTTCCCATTCTGCAGCCGGCTGCTCGCTCGCTATTCCCTGTTATTTGTGTGGGTCGTAAGCTCAGCAACAGATGAGAATAAATGCTAATATTTCTTTAGGCTGCCTCCCTAAGGAAATAAAGGTTCTGCTGCGCTGCTTTTCTGTGCAGGTATGTGTCCATCCCCCTCTCCCAAAAGCTTCTGAACCCATTAATGAATTCCAGATGAATTTGGGAGGAAGCAGATACTTCAAACTCAGTTATATTTCTGCGAGGTGCACACGGGCAGGAGGGAGAGACTCGGGTCAGGAACTGAAGCAGAATTCAGCCCTAGCGCCTCCAGGCTGGCATCCACCTTGAATCCACCAACCCACCCCTGGCAGGCAATTAATCTCTGTGAAGTGACTCTGAGCCACAGCGCTGCCCTAGCCTGCCTAGCACCGTTTTCTCTGGCTGGCAAGGGGATATCAGGGAGAAGCAGAGGAGCTGGGCTAACTCAGGGAATGAGCTGTTTTCGAGGCAAAATAATAGAGGAATTTAAGGGGTATCACTGTAAGCAACGGGAAAGTTAATACCTGGGAATGGCTGTACATTGTTTGTGGGAATGATTTAGCTTTTGTGTCTGTCCCAAAACAAACCATGGCAGAGGAGCAGGTCGGGCTGTTCCTAGAGCCAGCACAGCTGTCAGTCTGGTGCCGTGTTGCTCTTGGCACTAAAGCTAAAGGCCAAGATCCCCCACCTGCACCTTTTCCAGACGTGGATGCGTTTCCTCTGCAATGCCGGCATCAGGTGAAGAGCAGCCTCAACCACAGGCTTTAGGCTACTGCATCTGACAGCCCCACTCTCCCATCTTCCTTTCTGGCATAGCCTGGCTGCAGCTGAGGCTCAGAATTGGTTTATGTTTGAGAAGATCCGAGCCTGGGGTGTCTCCTCATGGGTGGTGCTGGGTCTCTACCTTGGCTGGAGCCCTCCCAGCTGCCTAACAGAGATGGGAGAGCTCCAGCCCTGTATCCCTGCCTCAGGGAATGCTGGTCAGGTTAGGACCAGGATCAGGTCCATTCCCACCTGAGAGCAAAGGATTAATTTATGTGTCCTTTCTCCACCAGCTGATCTCGCTGGGAGCAGCCACCGGAGTGGGGACACCGCGACGCTGCACGTACCAAACGCGCTCATCTCCATTGCAATTAGTTTGATGCAACAAACAGCTCCAGCATGACAAACTCCAGGCTAAAAAAAGCCAGGACTTCATCTGCATAAACTGGATGCACCAAGTATGTATTGTGTGTCACCTCCCTTATGTCCCACATTTGTTCCTGCAGCAAATGGCATATGCTCCAGCAATACCACGTGGTCCAACCGGACTCCTGGAAATACAGCAGGGATCTGATGCTGGTAGTCTTTGAAATTAAGACATTAGTTGTCATCATGCTTATGGACCTCTTACGGAAGGAAGGTTTTTGCATTTAAATTAAGATTCATTATCCTCTGATGAATAATCTATAAAATTGGAGCCAGCCTCCGCATCGATGACCAAGTTGTTATTTTTGGTTTAGCTCTTAGACACCAGCTGAGACCAGGGGCCTCGTTCTCCTGGCCACTGTGTAGTCACACCCAAGGAGATAACTTCTGCCTCGAAGAGCTTACAAAGCAGAACAACAAAAGAGTGAGCAATATAACACTCAGGCAGAGCAAACACGGTGACCTTTTGCAAATGTCAAGTTAATACCATGATCTGGAAGTGGAAGGGGCTTATCAGAGGGTGGGTGGGTCAATGAGGATGGGACACACTTCAGGGGGGTGGGAATGAGATGAAGGAAAAGACACAGCAGAAGCTGTGTAGTGTGAGATGCAGAGGAAGCACATGCAGAGCATTCTGTGGTCAATTGGCACATCCAGGGTAAAAACAGGGGGGAAGAGTCTGATGAGCCTGGCCACAGCTCACAGAATAACCAGCTCCCCAAAGTCTCACATCCTGGAGAGGGGAGGTGGAGAGGGCAGGGGTGGACAGAGCAGTTCCTCCTACGCGCCAGTTCCGCACAGGCAGCTGGAGGTGTGATAACCCTGTTTTGGGGCTGTTTCTCTCCGTGGCTCAGCCTCCTGCAGCTGTATTTGCTGCAGCTGAGCCTCGGGGCTGGAGTGAGACATGGTTCAGCTCTAAGCTGCTCTAAGTCCAGGGCAGCACATAATTGAATATTAACAGGAACAGCTCTAGGAGCTGCTGGGGCTCAGGAAGTCACAATTCCTTCTCCGCTGCTCCTTCGCCTTCGTGGGAGGTGATTGCTGGAGGCCTTAATGGATGTGAGATATGTTTCCCTCACATTAGCCCCAGTTAGCAAACTGAGGCT